CCCAATTACCTTATCATACATTATACATTGAAAGAAAAGGTGCCCTCCTTTTTCTAGGGACACACAGGAGCAATGGGCCAACACTCCAGAAGACTTTCAAGCAGAGTAAGGCAACTTCTTCTACTAAAAATCTAGTGAAGGAATGATCTAAAAATACAGGTAAATAAATACAAGAGGGAAAAAAACCAAATACTAGATTCCTTTCTCTCAGCTTCAGCAAGACTAGAGTAGAATGGTCAATATATTACATCTCTAAAATGTATTGACAGTTTAAGTTTAGGGATTTTTATATCATATTAAGCAACAGACTGATGGTATACTTGGCTTAGAGGAATTTACTGGAGACTAAAAACTACATAATATGCTTGGAAAACAGAACAAATCACAGGATACCAAAGAGCCCATAACTTTTATTCAACAATTACCAAGTTATCTATATGATGTCCACCAAAAGCCAAAACTGGCTCTATGAAAAGAGCCACTAACAACATCCTTTTCTGAATCTGTACATTCTATTTGTCAAACAAAAAAACATCAGCCAAAACAATCTTAACTTCTCCAAACAAAATCATCCTGAATTAAAACATTACTCTTCCTGATCCTTCCCACAATCAACAAAACCTGCTCTGCCTGGAGACACAAACAAGTTATGAAGCTAGCTAAGTTATAAACTTCCTAAATTCCTATAAATAAAACAGCAAGGTTGTGATATAAGCGGAGGTAATTCAAGGAAGCAGAGTAAGTTACCTCACACCACAGGACAGAAGTACACAAAGGGCTACTGCATTACAGCTGGCACATCTGACACCCATCCTGATACTATTTTAACCTCTTATCAAGTCTGTACTATCAAATTTAGGAGAAATAGGTGAGAAATTTCTGCAGCAGAAAGAACATTGTGTACTTTAATGCACCAGTTCAAGGACTTGATCCAAGAACCATAACTGATCACAGCAGTCAACACGGACTTAAGGATGAGGAATGGAATACTCCATAAACTCAGTAACACCCATGAACAGTAACAAAGGAGAACTTGATCTATCATTTGAATTGCAGGTACAAGACCTCCTTAGGAGACTTGAGAGACTATAAGAATTCTGCACCAACATTTAAACAAGCTGTACAATATAGAAACACATAATTTGAATCAAGACACCAAATGCCCAGATGCACAAGAGAATTTAATAAGACTTTCTAGACAGAAACAGAAGTGGTATTATGATCATCTTGAAGGACTTCTTTGACTCTGACATTTCCTTCACACACATCTTCCTACACTGACCACAAAATCACCACAGGTCTTCTCCTCCTGACATCTTCATCTGTACCATCCACTACTTTAGAAATATCTAATCTTCCTCTTCTGGAATACCACTTTAAAACAAACAGCCAACCAACTCTGGCTGAACCAAGGAGCATTTTAAGAGATTATTAAAAACAAGTATACACCCTGGTTTTATACTTTTCTGCCTCTCCTCATATAAAGGGCCTATAGCAGAAGGTGAGCAATATTAAAAGTCAGAAAATAAGTTCCATTTAAAGACATTCTTCTAAGGAAATGATTTACAGGAAATCCCACTTGTCTCCATTAGTAAGAAGTGAGGACTATGTCCAGCACCTTGAATGAATCCAAATGTAATCTCCCCAGTGCCACTTTATTCCTCCTATACTCTTATTATTATAACTTCTGTGCTTGATTTCTACACCTGGATAACACATATGTCTCAAAAACTGCCATTCAACAGAGTTTTTATTTTTTCTGAATGCCTAATTCTGGAATACAGCAAAAGGGAAGGAAGTTTGGACTTCACTGAAATGATGCTTTCCAGCTTTAGTTTACTTCCCAATAAACAAAGGGCAAAAAGAAAAGCAATGCAAAGAAGAAAAGACAACCCCAAAACCTTCAAAGACACAGAAAGCCTTTTAAGAGTAGATGAGTCTGAACCAGTAATTCTAATAAGCTTGCGTTAATAACCTTTCAAAAAGTAAAATCTGTGACAAACAGGAAAATTACTTCATTCACAGAAAGACTTCTGTGCGATCTAGATCTAGTACAGTTTACAGAACTTACTGGACATTATATCTTATTTCATTAAGAAGAAGACTAAAAGGACATAATTTTGTAGAAGACACCATACTCAGAAAATGAAGCAGTTAAACACAAGAAACAAACTTGCAAACCCTATTTTCCCTTAGCGAGACTCATCCAACAGAGTACAGAATGGCAGTACCAACTACTCTTAAATGGCTATCATATGTGTTTGATATGGAAACAAGATACTGTGGCAGTCAGATTATGTACAAATGGCTGACACAAAAGCTTACACTGCATTAGTGCTGCTTCTCTAACTTGTTTCATCCAAAGGATCTTGAAAACTAAAATTTATGATAAATTATTCACAATAGAGTAATTTTTGTGTCATCACACAAATAAAATCACATGCATATTGGCACTGGTTCCAAAATGTACCATCACTATCGAAATGAAGATTAGTCAATAATGCTAATAGGCTAAAATGATACCAATCAGATTTATGAAGAATGAAGCTTTTCTCTTTTCCATGATGCCCTTTTATCCAGAAACCAAAACAGAGTAAGAATGAAAACCACAGGAACTGTCCAGGTGCCAACATTTGCCTTACCCTTTTTTTAAAACTGACTATTTCCCAATAATTCTACTCCAAATTGACTACAATTTGACAGTCATTTTGGAAGCATCTTCAAAAACACAGTCTTAAAATGATCACTGCTACAATTACACTATAATGCTAACAAATAAGGTCAATGCAAGCATATTTGGAAGCAAAGAAAACACAATAAAAACTTCTTTTGCTAAGTTACGAAGAATTAGCAGGATCAAGTATATTGAAGCACTGCTTAGCAGGGCTCAGATACTGCATCATATGGCTCAGCAAGCAAGGACACCTTAATTCAACTTAAAACTAGGACATACATACAGATAAAGCATCACCAGTAGATGAAAGAAGATGCACTGAAATCATAAAGAAATATACTTACTTGGAATGACATGGGTCATGATCTAATGAAGTGATGCTTACAATTTTTTTGTTTTAAGTCAGATTGCAATCTGTACAGGAAACACTGCTAACAATTTGAACATAAGAAAAACATTTCTATTATGCTCCTATTTTCAAGCTCTGAACTCCATCAGTTAGGCAAAATAAGATAGCTGTCACCTTCTGAAATACTGATTTTAAAAGCCTGAAATAATAATTATGATTCAGTGCACTTCGTTAGTATGATTTGTTTTAAAATCCTTCCTCTCCAACCATCTCACAAGAATGACCCAAATAGACAACTACACCTTCTTCAAAGAAAGCACACCTGTGCTTCACAAAAAATGTCCTTCTATCATCACTGTTACCCTAACACAGGAAAAGAAATGGGTAACTGGAAAAAAGCAACTCTAGCAACTAGAGTTACTAACATACTGCCTGAATGACTGTACAGAGCTCACAGCAAGTAGTTTTAAAAAGCGACACTCAAATTTGCTTTAATTTTTGCTAACTTTAAGCAAACCTGTAACTAGATTAAGGTTTCATACAACACAGGTAAGTCAATAAAACCCGCTTATATAATCAAACTACTTCTGTCAAATTTCCCTTGTCATAACAAGTTCATATTTCCTTTGAAGCACAATGACTTCTGTCATTCTTCATACACCAAATGGGATACCCAAAATAGGCAGCAATAGGCTCAGTGATAAACAAATCTTTCAAGAGTTCTGGTAAGAATGCATCTACAGTGAAAACATGGCTTTACACACCTACAAATTCAAACACAAAAAACATTCAATCATCAAAATCTTTACTGATCACTAAAATACCTTAAATAGTGTATTTTGCTCCTCTTGGAGCATTTTTGCTAAGTATATTCACACCTGGACAGTTCTGATGTTACAAAAAAAGTCCTTAGGTGTCAAGCAAATTTCAGACACCCTACCAAGCCCAAAAGACTACCACAGTAGACTGAGTAGCTATAATCATTGCCAAAGATCTGGAAGGAACATATGGACAATTCAAACATAACAGCAGTGACATTTACAAGAATGTAGACATTTCACTACTTCTACCAACAATTTCACCAGCTGTAAAACTACACTGTCACCATGCCTGCCTCAGAGCTCAAGTGCAGACAGACAGAAGAGCAGGAATTCAATCCTCCATTCACTTGTAATCTCATTCCCCACGATCTCCTTTAAAAAGAGGAGACTTCAGAAAGAGCAATGTCTCCTTCATTTGCACAGATTTACAGTAATACCACACAAGGTAAAGACTAATGGCCACAACAGCGTTGTATCCCTCTCTTCCCAAAACAAGATTGCAGATCTTGCACGGAATTTCCTGAGATACTATTTTTTAAAATATTAGGCAATCAAATCAAATATTAAAAACTTCTTCAGTTACCACCAAGAGTGCAGATAAAGTGGACATAAATTCCTTTTATTAAAACTGAACCATTGCAAATCAAGAATCCATTAGATTTCTGAAAAGGTTTCACAGCATGAAACTAACATTATCATTACCTCACCATAAAATCACATAATATCTGAAAAAAGTGAATATTGTTTTGCTTCATTCCATCACTTGTGAAAACTCTAAGTCAATATTCATCATGGCTCCCAAAGTTTAAGGATCTAGGGTAGGGAGGGACGTCATGCTCAATCCAAGTGAACAGTCACTCTCTCTACCACAGGAAAAACTACATACTGTAAGCCCTGTGAATAAGTAATTACAATGAAATGAATGTTTTATGAAGGAAATGCACTTGGTTTTAAAGGTCACAAAGCAACAGATTAGAGCATACAGTGAAACAAATCCAGCAAATTACTGATTGAACTGCAGGGTCAATGAATCCAAGCAATAAATATTTCTGCTCTTTGAATAATTAAAAATGTCAAAACACAATGACTGCAGACAACAGTGTTAAGAATGCACACAGACCAAATGATCTACTTCACATTTAAGTATTTAACTTACCTGTCCTGTGACTGCTCTTCATACATTCTTTCCTTTCCTTCTTTAAAGAGTCTTATGGCCCGTTTGGATTTTTTCATAAGGCTGTCAATGTAGATTTTAAAATACTCATTCTCGCTGAGTTGTGCAAGTTTCTGGTTGTCATCATATTTGCTCAGTATAAGTCGCAAATGTTGGTAAGTATCAGGTAGAATGTCAAGTATGTAAGGTGGGCTGTTTTTGAGTTGAAGCTTTGGGTTTTGGCACAATCTTACCTATAAGCAAAAAAAAGAGTATGTAAAAGACAAGAAAACCATTGAGACAAAAACTGATCTGATATTTTCCAATTTATCAGGTATAACATACTTCTCTAGCCTCCAGTCCCAAAGAATTAAATCCTATTTCATTTATATTCTGTGAAATTCCAACATAGTCTCTGTCGTGGTTTGAAATTTTGCCTCTCTAATGTCAAAAGAGGCAAAATTTTACTTAATCTTGTCACATCTATAAAAAGCAAACAAGCTTACCTACATGTTTTGTGAGTTTGCCCTGAAAGTATGTCTTTTCCTGTCTAATATATGCTAAGGAGCATATCAAAACACAGCATGCAAAAATGCCAAGAGCAGTACTTTCAAACGGATCTGTTTTCTGCAGGTTAACTTAGCTACAGGTGTTTAAGTATCTACTAAGAACTGACATAAATTACTTTGTCATCTACTGGCTCTCTTTATCCAACAATATAGCCTCTGAGACCCTAGGGAAATTTAATTTTGAAAGCTCTGCACATAAGAAAATGGTCTGAACTGTGATAGTGCTTCAAAAGTTATTACCTACAACAGACAGACTTTGGGTCACTCAAAAACAGATATTGTAAACCAGGAAACAAAAACATTATAAAGTCATTGTTTTCCAGCTCCTGGCTGGAACAGAAGTTCAGCGCTTGGCTTTTGGCTGGGTGAGGAGGCGCCCACCACAGCTTCTTTCTCATTCCCCTACCCACAACGAAAGACTCGTATGTCAAGACAAGCAGAGGGAGAGATCATTCATCAAACACTGTCACAGGTACTTAATATTAAGATACTTAGCCTTGACTAAGGGAACTTAATTCATTTGATTAATAAAACCAAACCTTAAAAACACATTCCACCCACCACTCCCTCCTTCCGGGACCTAATTTTATGTTCCACTCTACCTCCTCCCCCACAGTAGTAGAGTGAACGGGGGCTGTGGTCAGTTCATCACTCCTTCTCTCTGCCACTCCTCCCTCCTCAGAAGGGGAACTCCTCACACTCTTCCCTTGCTCCAGACAGGGGTCCCTCCCACAGGAGACAGTCATCTTTGAACTTCACCAGCATGAGTCCTCCTCTCAGACCAGCTCTTCACAAACTCCTCTAGAACATATCCAGTTCTTCACAAACTCCTCTAGAACATATCCCCTCCATAGGGTGTAGTCCTTCAGGAACAGACTGCTCCAGCATGGGTCCTCTGCAGGGACACAAATTCTGCCAGGAAACCTGCTCCAGTGTGGGGTCTCCTCTCCGTGGGACCACAGGTCCTGCCAAGAGCCTGTTCTAGCACAGGTTCCTTAGGGTATCACAGCCCACATCAGCCTGCTGTGTCATGGGGTCCTCCATGGCTTACAGTGAATGTTGGCTCCACTGTGGACCTGCACGGCCACCACCATGGGCTGAGGGGGAATCTCTGCTCCAGCACCCAAAACACCTCCCCCCCTCCTTCACTGAGCTGCATGGCTGCAGAGGTGTTTCTCTCACATATTCTCACTCCCCTCTTCCCCGGTTGCAATTTCCTTCTGCACAGAAGCTTTTCTCCCCCTTCTTTAAGACATTACCCCAGAAGCACCACTGTTGCCAATGGCCATCAGCAGATCCATCTTGGAGCTGGCTGCTCTACTGGACAGGAGGGAATCTTCTGGCAGTGCCTCAGCAAAACTATCCCTGTAGTGTCTCCACTACTAAAACTTTGCGACTTAAGCCAAATAGAAGAAAACATCTCAATGGACTTGGAATCATTGTGATCCCAAATGGCACAAATAGTAATAAAATATATATTACTCAAAGAATAAGTTTAGGCTAATAGAATACCTTTATTTGAATCTAGTTTCCACTGGAAATGTTACTGGAAGAGAAAGGTACTCTTTGTTTCCTACACATCCTTAACATAACAAGATTAGAATTGTTTCTGAGCTATCTACATTTTCTGATAGTTTGTTCTGTAATGCTCTGTTCTAGAAGAAAAAGAGACTAAAACTAACAGGTAGTTTTTGACTGCTGATGCACTGAGCTACTCAAGCTCAGCTAAAGCATTGCATAGGGACACAATCTAGATGTGTGTGCAGCTGTACATATGCAAATACTTATCAAGAAATTAAGACCATGTGGTATAAAAGTTTTATAGGGATCATTTGGAGATTGCCACATTATATATTACTGACTTTGACATTCTTTTGAGGTAACTAATGAGGCAATAAAAACATCTTAATATTGCTGAAAGGAGATTCCTATTCCTACTAATTTATCAACTTAGAAAAAATGCATCCTTGAGCTTTTCTGGGAGAGAGGGGAACAAACCTGTATCCTGTAACACTCAACCTCTCTACTCAGAGCCCTATCACTATTGCTGACCTCTCCTGTAATTTCTACATCTACACCATTAAGAAATTCACTGCATTAAGACTGCTGCCACTACCAGACCTTCATGCACCCCAAACAGCAAAGCAAACAGGTCTGAAACATACAGTGCAAGAACACAACCAGGCAATTAGACTGAGGTAACAGGCAGTCAGTTAGAAAAGTAGAGATAGAGTGGACAAAAGACAAGCACTTAGAAGTTTTTAAAAAGTTTAGTACCCTTTGAAACAGTATTTAAAACATAACATTTGCAATAGCTCTCCTAATTTCACTGATTGTTATTTTAGTAATTTCTATTATTCTTTCAACTTTTAGACCAAGAAATACATGAGAAAGCCTTCTGACATGTTGTAGAACATCCTTATCCCAGAGAAATTTACATCTCAGTAGGGGAAGAAAAAAAGGAAGCAGGCAAATATGAATACATGAGCTGTTCAACATGGTGAAGAATGGTTCAGAGACTGAACACCAGCAGTTTGGTACTTCTAGACATAAACTGCAAAGTTCCACAGCAAGCTCTCAAATAATTTAATGGCTTACAAAGGAACTCCTTAAAGTTGAGAATGCACTGGAAGGAAACAGAAAAAAACCTAAAGCATATTTGATCATCTCTTGACCAGTAATGAAGTCTGAAACCGCAATCCACAACTGCAAGAGCTTTGAAACTGAAAATAACTTGTTTCTATTTTATGTGATATAGATAAGGTCATCAGAATTTAAAAAAGGGACAACAGAGCCCCAGTTGTGGGTTAGAAGATGTCTAAAGCAGTATTTTCAAAGAATAAAGATTGGCTATGATAGCATTCTTGCAAGATCAGAAAAGGACTGAAGTTAGGCTGACAGGTAGAATTCTCTATGGAGATGTCAGAAACATGGGCAAAGAATCTTACATGTGTAGCTAGACCTGAAAATCATCCATGCAGAGACATCCAGGAATTTCTTTTAGCAGAAGCGTAAGAAGAACTGGAATCCCAAATACAGAAGTGAAAATCTTTATGAAAACCAGATTCTTTTTTCCTCTGAACTTTGAGTTCATTGTGATTTCTGGTTTAGTGAAAACTTGAAACTAGACTGACATTCTTCACAAGACCAACTACAGGTGACACAAATCTGTCACTGATCAAGCCTTACAACTCTCTGAAGTAACAAGCACAAGGGAAAAAAACATCTGAGAGATCAAAATGTTTATTCAGAGAAAAAAGTCAGCAATGAGAGCAGACCACAAGCAGAGAAGGCTGCAATCATTCTGAATTACGTATTTACCCTAACTTAAATCTCATGAACAAAGAATTAATTACCTTTCTGAAGCCTATCTTTTTGATCAGATGTGCCAACAAGCAGAATATAAGTGATTTCATATATATTAGAAACACCATTAAAATATTAAAACAAGAAAAAGCAATTTGCTTATGCTGGTTGCTGTATTTTCAACAGTCAGCCCATTCAGCTATACAAAAAGAATATCCAGTTATAAGGAAGAACTATATTATCTTCCAGAACTTCTTGAAAGTTTTCTTCAGTCTCACATCATTACATACAAGATAGTTTACAAGGCTACACTTTCTGCTGAATTTGGAGAGATAAATACAGCACAGTACCAGAACCTTCCATTTTAGAACAAGCTTTTAAGTAAAGCACACAAAAATTCTTCAACACCATTAGCTTTATGCATTATAATTGAAAAAAAAATACTAATAGTAATGTTCAAATTAGAGATCCACTGAAGTGGTATAAGGTTTCCTTCACTTTACAGAGCATACAAGGCTTCAAAGGAAGTAAGTCTGTAAGGAGATGGTTGGTAAACCATATGGTTTCCAGTCAGGATGTCCTGACACATACCACAGCAGTTCACAATTAAAAGTAAGCAGTAAGAAAAGACACCTGCTGACGCAAAGGATTTGCCAAGAGCTTTCTTCAAAAGAAAACAGAACTCAAAACAAACAAACACAAAAAAAACCCAACACCTCTAAAATAAAGAAATCTACATTGCACTCTACAAGGCAACTCTCACCAACACATTAGGAGCGGACATGAATCATATCACTGTGTGATTTTTGTATTGTTATGACTGGAAGTAAGCATGTATATATTTAGCAAGCACTCAGTGGTAAAAAATGAAAGGCAGTAAGCAAGTTAGTAAAAAATATCTCTCATTGAGGCAAACTGAGACAAAATTAAGCTCCTTTCAGTAGCTCACACTCAGGGAAAATCCAAGTACTTAATCCAGAACCACAGAAACAATAAGATTGCAACTCTGTGAAAACTGAGGCATTACCTTAATCTACCAGAAACTGATTTTGAAACAGTTAACTGTGGAACTTCCAGACAATTTACCTCTAGTTCCCTTACAGAAAAATATTAACCCCCTCTCCCCTTCTCACCCACCCCTAACCAAAATAAATGCCACTACTCAAAACTTGAAGATATTTGTCTTACATTATAAGGCATTTTTTCATAGCATCATCGGAGATGAGAGTAATGGAGGCCGATTGTACACAGACAATAATTTCTTGCTAAAAACTATGTTCTATTTGATCAGAATTTATTTAAAGCAAAGTTGAAAGCCCCTGACTCGTTTGACAAAAGGTCCCTTGTTCAAGCAAAGGACAGCAGCCTTAACACAATCTGTTTAAACACCTAAGGCTAGTCAAAGACAATACAAGGAAAGTAACTCAGCTAAAACAGAGTAAGTATCTAATGACTAGGACATCCGCTAAACACTGTTTTCAGCTGCAATGAATGGGTCAGAACAATTGGAGCATCAATGCTCACACACTTCCAAAACTACACTTCCAAACTGGCCAACTGAACAAGCTCTTCTGCCATGCTGCACAAAACAGTCAAAGAATTAGAAAACGCCTTGACACACCACAGACAGCATAAAGGTAGCTCTGCAGTTAAGATACCATAACAATTCTCCAGCAATCCACAACATCCAATGCAACAACAATGAATTCTGAAAAACTTAATCAGGAGGGGCTAATAATGAAAATGGCCCAAGTTTGAACATTATGCTTCTTTGACACAGATTTCTTCCTGCCTGAAGTTACCATAACCGCAATGCATTTCATTTTCCATAGGAAAAAAAGCTCTCGTCAGAATATATGTAGAGGTGACCCAAACACCAATCCTTTTTCCTGAGAATACAGTAAGTGCTTGTTTAACAGCTACCACACTGCAACTGACCCATATGTTTCCATAGTGGAAGAATAAACAATAAGAATGCTGATGCCACAGACACACAAGGAGAGTTGACTTTGGAGGGTAATTTTACTTCTTTCCAATTAGAAAGAGAGAAGCTTCTGTTTCTGTTTCTCTGTTTAACTTTGTATTCCTTTTCCATAAGCAGCATACACAGGACATAAGATTTCCTACCAACTTTGACCATAGAATCAATTACATGAAGTTTTGCAAAGGATAACCAATACACTCAGTTTCAACTACCATGCTCTGTATACTCAGATGCTGACAGATGTTAATTTAAAGAAAACCACAATACTAAGCTGCAGAGGTAACACAGCTTTTACTCACTAAGTCAATAGTATAAGCTTTGGAGAAGCACTCTAGTTTGCTCTTAAATAATTACTAAATAGCAAATCAATGCCATCAACATTTATACAGTCAGAGTCAAGCAACTGGTGGGCCGTGACAGTGCACCCAAATAGTTTAGTCAATATTGTTAATCTTCATAGTAGAAAATTTAATTATTTTCAGGCCCAATGCATAGGAGGAATGAAAAGTGATTAAAAGTTGATGAAATACACCTGTTTTAAAAAAAAAATCCTGTTCAGAATTTATCATGATTTTACCAGCTTTAATCCCACAGGAATGAAGTGTGAAAAAAAATAGTACTGACTACTCTAAACAGACCAAGCAGTAAACAGACCTAACTACTCCAATGCTTACATAGTAGTAATTCTCTCCCAAAGCTGGTCTCAACATACCATTATTCTCTAATAGTAATACATGACTAGGGTCTAGGTTTTAAAAGCCATCAGGTTTACAAACTCAGAAAAACAAAAGCTCATGTAATTTATGCACAGTTTAAAGGAAAACCTGAGTTATTTGTTAACAATATTCATTTTTTATTTATTTACAGGATAAAACATACATGGTGTTTTAAAAACAGTAATTTGCTTCCTGCAAGTCCAGAGATATATGCAAGCATTGAAAAGCAAGGATAGCCTTCTAAACCCTAAAAGAAATATTATCTTTAGCACTGCACAGAAATTGAAGTATTCTTGGTTCTTAATGATAAGGCTATTGTTTACCTATGAAAAAAGCAGTAGAGAAACTTGACATTGATGCTTAATATTGTTTTCCTTTCAATAATGCAGGTAATACTGTAAATTTGCATAAGACATACCAATAAACCACAAAAAGTATAGATCCCGGTGTATGAAGTATAAAAAGGAAAGATATATGGACAGATAGCAATTTACATTCATTGATTATCTACATGCAGATTATGTTTTTCATTCCCTGCAAGAATGTTGCTTATAGTAACTTTTACAAACAAGGCTCTAAGCAGGAGCATTATTCAAACATCCTGTCCTGCTAAAGAACTCTTTTTCAAAATCCATTATTATCTTCACACTGATAATAAAAGTTTAAAGAGAAAGCACCCAAACAGAACTGCAATATTCCGCCTATTCCAACCTAAAGTATCAGCCCATGGAAAGTTGACATTATCATGAAATCTGAACAATTTGAAAGCAGGACACATAACCAATTGTACACAAAGAAGTTTGCATGGTGTCTAGGTAGCCAGAATTTTTGCATATACCACAAAACTACTCTCACTGTACAGTTCTCATAGGTTAGGAATGTTTTGTTAATCCCTTATTGTTGAAAACAAGTAATTAATACAGAAAACCTCATCTGCCAGACATCAAAATTACAGAAAGAAATGAAGGAAAGGTAGAATATAGCAATTTTAAAGAAGAAAAAAATGCAAACCAGAAATTATTGACCTCTACCACTAGTTTTTAAGGCTGCTCTTTTTTCAGTGTTTGGTCAAGATACAAGCTTTGCTTTGTTTCCATTATTCATTTTCTTAACATCATTAGATTGGGGGAAAACTTTAGCTACCTTACTACAGCCATAAGATGATTATCATAGCTACTGTAGTTAAAGAATAAACAAGCATAATAACTGTTATTACAACAAGTAAAATAGGCCTCCAAGCCACAACCTTACTATGGATAGCACCCTACTGACTTGGCAGAACTTCTGCCTTTGCTAGGTATTAATTTGATCAGTCACCCACCACAGAAATCAGTCATAGGACACACACTCCAGAAATTGGATTTAAAACAACAGTTGACTGAGCAGGTTTCTATTTCTGATTTTAATCCCTTGGTTTGATCTAGATGGAGGAAAAAATGACCTTCCTGTGCCTGCTGCCACACAAGGCTATGAGATTTAAATCTGTTTGCCAGCATATTAAATTTGCTCAAACACATCCTTTCAGTACAAGTACCAAATGCTAAAAATCACAACCAACAAGCTTGAGCATTCTCACACTATGACATCATCCTGTCTGGTATACTTTAATACAATTTGGAAATAAAATTTGATTAACTGAGAGCAGCTTAAAGAGGATACATTAAAGATCCAAATTGAGGACACTTATACAGTAAAATGAAAAAGGAAGCACAGTGCCCAGCCCTTCCAGTGTCTTCTACCAAACAGGCCTTCCTGGCTATTCTGATGGGCTGTGACAAGTACAGTTATCATGTATTGGATGAGTGAAAGCAATCCAGAAGTCCAAGCAATGGAATAAAGACTTTCTGGTAATTGTGATTTTACAAATAAATTAGGGTATAACCTTACTATATCTGTAAAGATCTGTAAATGGCCTGACACAGAGAAATCAGAGCTCTGCATTCCCCACGTGGTTTGAACAACAAACCAGATTCCTAGTTCCCAAGCTGAAAACTTCCTCCTACTGAAAAGAGTACCTACTTTCGAGTATTTATACTTGCAGTCCTTAACACAAGAGAACTCACTGTTAACAGCATCCTGACCATTGACAGGAAAATTACAACAAAGTCTTTGTGATAATAACCATTTTTATTAAACCTGGGGTTTCAGTTTATAATCGCTGCCCGCAAACACCGTGGAAATACAGATACTATTCTTGTAGCATCAATAAAGAGCCTTCAAGAACTTTAAAAAATACTTAAACACTTGTAAAGGCATACTACATTAGTCTCCACCCTGCCAGTATAACTAATTATAAATGTCAAGAAATGTTGAACATCTTATTTCACAAGAGCCACAGGGAAAGCAGAGTTGCACTAAATCACAGAGAATCAGAGTTAAAAAGTGGTAACTGTATCACCATACAGACCCAAGGCCAACAGGTAGCAATCCTCACTGCTCAGCAGTTCCAAGAGGAAGCTTTCAAGTATCACCCAGCGTGCAAAGCAGAGTGCCTGCATCTCCTGAACAGCCAGCCATGTTACAATCAAACTCTTCCTACCACTGGTAAAGCACTCTCGTAGATAATCTATTATGATACAAGCTGTCATTTCAAAGAATACTAAACAAAATGTATCAGGTTAGTGAGGAGAAACATAAGAGCTAAAGTCCATCCCCCCACTTCCTGAAAAATGAGTTTCAGAACAGTATATTTCTAGTTTCAAAATTAATAGTAGATGTACTTATAAGTCATTAAAATGCACAACACATACTTAAAAAGTTAGGCATGCCATACTAATCTGTTTACTAAACTGACAAGAGTGACATCCCCCAGTCCCCACGCACATTCCTAAAAGCACAAACACATCTATGTTGCCATCACCAACATATCTCACAGGACAATTAGCTTAACTGAAGTTTAATATTTCAGAGGCCTTGTTTGCAGACTAACAGTGTGACACAACATGAAACGCACAGAATATGTGATTACAAGTCTAAGTTAAGCAGCTTTTGGTTAGGACAGCTCTTCAACTTTGAGTCATTTTAAAGGATCTGAAAATAACAATAGCCTAAGGCAAACACACACATTTGTTTTCCTTCCACAAACCAAGATTTAAAAAAACATAGCCAGAGGCCACTGGAAAAAAAAAAAAAAAAAAGACAAATGATACTTAAATAACCTAAAACATAAGTCCCCTTACTCCCCGAGGCACATGCAGCACAGCACTTAAAGCTGCAGGAAGAAGCTGTTTGCCCCTGTGTACCTATTTAAATAGCCCCACTCTTCATTCTGTGTATACACGGACGCACAGAGACACCCACCACTTTGTCCATAAGTTTCCAGGTCTTCTCCACAGTCCTGCGGTCAGCAGCTGCCTGTTTGGGGGGGCCCACAGCATCCTGAATGGCATCGATGAAGCCCAGGATCCGTCCCTTGCGCGGGTTCCGGCCGTTGAGGGAATTGGCCATCTGGGAGCCAAGCTGGCCGCAACGACAGAGAAACACAGGCTCACAAGGTGCTCCGAAAACATCTTGTCATAGAGCCCGCCGCAGCCTGCGAGGCAACGCTTCCTTCTTCACGGGCAGGAAAGGGCAAGATCAGGGCATGTTTAGGAACAAGCTTAACTTTTCATGACAAACAGCGTAAACCCACCTGGCCCGGGTTTACGTTGGCAGAAGCGATCCCGGATTTATTGTCAACACCGACAGTCGGGAGGGGGGGAACACACCCGCGCCCGGCTCCGCGCCGCGCCCCTGCCCGTCCCTGCGCCCCGGCCGCGGGCACATGCCCGGCACGGCACAACAAAAGAGGCCGCGGCGGAGCGGGGGCAGGAGCGGGAGGAGGGAGCAGAGGAAGGCAGCGCGGGCAGCAGGCAGGCACCGCAGGGCAGGCGGGGGCAGCGGCGCGCACACGGACCCGGCTCCCGGCACACGCAGGGACCGGCACCGCACGGCCGGGTGCCAAGGGCGAGAGCGGCCGCCGGCAGAGCCGGGAGCGGGCGGCGGCAGGGAGGTGGTTCCTCGACCCCCGCGGCGGAGCGGAGCGCAGGAGAAGCGTCTCTCCGGACGAGACTCTCCTCCCTCCGGCCGCGGCGGCTTCAGTGCCGCGGGAGGCAGGCGGAGCGCATCCCGCCCCGCCGCCCGCGCCCGTCCCGCTCCGCTCCGCGCCGGCCGCCCCGCAGGACTCTGCCCCGTGCGGCTGCTGCTGGCGGCGGGCGAGTGAGCGCTACCTCAGGGGGAAGCGTGGAGAACTCCTGCCCTGCCGCCCGCATCGCCCTCCCGTACCCCAGCCCAGCCCGCCCGGCGGGTGGGTGGGAATGTGCGCGCGTGTGTGGAGAGTCCTACAGGCACATGCAAAAGAGACAGAGAGAGAGAGAAAGAGAGAGAGATGCACACGCACAGGTCTGTCTGCGGCACCGCTCGCAGCCCCCGGCAGGCTGTGGTCTCCCCGCACTCCTAGGAAGTGAGGCTGGCTCCCCGGCGGCGGCGGCCCCGCTCCTTCAGCCGCGCCCGCCCCCTCCCCGCGGCGCGCTGGCGGCCGCTCCTCTCCTCGGAACATGCCCACCCCCGGGACAACACTGCGTGCGCGCCTGCGCGCCGCGCCGCCAGCGCGGCCCTCTGCCCGGGGGTGGGACCGCTGCTACACGACAGCCAATCGCAAGGGCAGATCTTCTTGATTGACTCTGCATCTAGCAAATGGGCGTGGGTGCAGGCACGGGGCGGGGCAGCGGCCGGGAGCGGGCTCGGGATGGGGAGGGGGCGGGAAGCAGCGACCGGCAGGGGAGGGAGCGGTAGCGGAGCTAGCCGGGATCGGGTTGAGCGAGGGGGCCTCTGGTGCCACCTGGTCCCGCCGGCTGACGGGCAGCCTGAGGCCTCTGGGGTGGTGGCGGCGGCCGGGTGGGGATTGCCTTCGTGGGGACGCAGACATTGTCCCTGGCTGTGCGGTCTCCATGGGCAGCGTGTCCCTCCCTCCCTCCCTCCCTCCCCGGTGAGGCCGTGGGACCCCGGCGTGCTGAGCGTGCTGACAACTGCTAGATCTCCGCTTTTTGGAGCGCGCTGCCTTGGCGTTTCCCCTTCGCGCTTTTGGGAGTTCGCTGGGGTTTTTCTTGTGGCCACAGAGAAGAAGAAATTTTTTTTCCTCTGTCTGGTTTCTTTTCTTGTTTTGTTGCTTTTTTTTTTTTTTTTTTTTTTTTTTTTTTTTTTTTTTTTTTTTGAGAGTGAGGGAGTTTTGCTGTTAAGCAAGTGCTGAGATTTCCATATTTCCATGCCTGGGAATGGGCTGGAGAGTTCCAACCAAAAGGTGGTGAGGGAAAAATGTAAGCACTTTCTGGTTTAAAAAGCCCTTTTAGATGCCATTATTTTGATAAGAGCACTTCAGCACTTCCCCTGAGGATATGGTAAATAAAAGTCAACTGATAGAATGCTGCAAAGAGTGAGGCTTACCTGCATAGGATGCAAGACACTTGACTTCAGATCCTTTTGAAGATAGTACAGAGAACAATTATACTTTGCAAGGGTTAATCTTCTAATGAGCTGAAGTAAAAGGAAACAAAAATGTAACACTTAGCAAATTGTATTAGAGGGGTTAAGTTTTGGTTTTCAAAGTATCTTCAAATTGAGTAGTTTTCTTTCCAAAGATTTTCTTTTTAATGGTTTGCTCTTTTTTTGGTTCTTTCCCTACTTTTTCTTGGATTTGACTTTTTTATTAAAGTAGGAGTCAGGAAAAACAGAAAAACTTGTAGAGTATTTCAGTGTCGCTTTTATTCATATTTTAATTTATAGGTATTTTTAGCGCAGGTATCTTCCTGTTGATTTAAAATGTGTCATGTTATTCTTTTGAACACATAAAACAATAAAATCCTATCAATAATATCTTCCTCAAAGGTTGTTCCTCTATAGCTTTTAAATATGAATTGGCAGTTACTTGCCTTAAGTGGGTTGGAAGCTTCTCATTTTATTGTAGTCTCTGTAAATTACCCTCTTCCCTGTGTTGGTTTAAAACCTCTCTGGCTGATGTCCCTATCCCTTTTTTCTTTGGAGCTCAGCTTTCATAAGATTAAGTTGACAGTGACTGCTTACTCTGTTGCTATCTCTCATTTGGTTGTGAAAAGAGCAGAGGAGCTGACGCTTTTTCAGAACCTGTAAAGTCCCTGGTTCCTGTTCTCGATTGCTTTGTTGTCATTGTTGTTATGTCATTCCCTTCATATCCCACACTCTGCCAAGAGCTGTGATCTGTGAGCTCTTGGTAGCCGTCTGGGGCTGAGTCATGGTATCTTGCAGTTCATCTGAGTGCAGGGCCAGCAGGAGCGAGCAGCTTGGTTCCCTGCAGCCCTCTGCAGCCCTGCTGCATTGCTAAGGGAGTAGCCAGCTCCATGGGGAAAGTGAGTGGCTTTCAAGCAGTGTTGTCTCATTGCCTGTGCTGTACAGTAAGTACAGATGTTCTGGGAATTGCAGTCCTCGGAGGGTCATGTGAGTACATTGGAAGCAAGCCAGCTGGGAGAGCAGGTGGAAGGGATACCTATGGCTGCAGCTTCAAGGCTGTTAAAGATGGATCAGGATTCTGTGGGCTGTGCTGTGGAGGGACGAGAGGACACAGCACTGCTGATGTGGCTTCAAGCATACAGAGTGACAAGGCTGTTTGACAGAATACAGCTGAGAGGTGAGGCTGGGAGGAGTGAAGCAAACAGCTGCTGTGTTTGAAGTTCAGGGCATGTCTTGTTAGCAGTTAGCACATAAAGACTGAGCTTGCCCACGGGGTCTTTGGGGTCTATAAGGATTAAAGGTGGTGGCTGAAGGCACTGGCCACCTGGAATATTTTAATACAGGCCAGCAGCACTGTGTTAATGTCCAGGTATTCCTACTCCCCAGCTTCAGGCTCTCTGATAGGCTAAAATAGGAAGCTAACCTGCTATGTATAGATCCACTGAGAGACCACAAGGTGTTTCAATGCAGAAACCTTGGTCAGGTACTTTAAATCTCCAGGAAAGAGCATCTTTCTGTTTGGGCTACATGTAAGGTACGTGTGTAAGTTTGGTGTCTAAGGTCCAAAACTTTTGTATATACAGTTAAAATGACTCCACAGATCTCTTTTATTTACAAGTTCTCCAACTGAATGTTGATTCTACTTGTTATTATACTGAAGAATGTTACAGTTTGAATCTGTGATTTAATCTCTCTATGAAAACACTACAGAATAAAGCACAGTAAGTCTGAGGTGTCAGATTTTGAGATTCATATATTACATGAGACTGATCCTCAGCCTAATCAAGGTACTAATGAGTCATGTAATGATGACAACATTAGAATGTCATCCAGGATTTGGTAAAATTTTGTAGTGAAAATTGTGGAGTAAAGGTGATTGGGAGTCAGGATATGATGAAGGAATCAAGACAATGTAAAAGAAGCCTTGAATTAAACTTTCTTAAGTCCTTCTTTGTAAAGTGGGGATTTTAGGTCCAAGCATTTTACTGAAAAGCAAAATCATGTGACTTCTTGAAAAACCCAGCTGCTTGGTAGGGAGAAAAAAGATATAAAAGATTAAGCTAACATTTGCATTTGTTCATTGTAGTATTTTCCTATCTGTTAACTGTTTTGGGTTTTGTTGGGTTTTTGTTTTTGTGGAAGTTTTTTTGGTTGTTTTTTTACTTTCTTGGTGTCTCTCATTCTTCTGGAGTTAGTAGACTGTCTTATGAATGAAACTTTATCTTGGTGCTCTTGAATGAATTCCATTCCATCAAAGAGCAATTGACAGACATTGGAAGCAAGAGAGATGTTTTGGTTTGGTTTTCTTTGTTCACCAGCTATTAAAATATTACTGATTTTCTGCAGTCAGTCAATGCATGTGGTTTGGGAGCTTTTGTCATTTGTGTGTTTGTTGCTGTGGTACAAGTGGTTTTGTACCCAAATATACTGAAACATAAAAGCAATGAGGAGACAGATGGAGGTTCTATTTATAGCAACATCAATAAGGTTCATACAGTACATAATATGCTGAGTTAAGGGATATGGTAGCAATGCTTGTAAAGCTTAAGCCCTCCATTAAAAAAACTGAATGTGAAGTGACTTCTTGCTAATTGTAACACAATATCCTGGCTATCCCAGCATTCTTAAACTTCCAAATTTATCTCTTGGTGTTTACACTGAATATGTACGATGTGATGAAAAGGCAGCTGTTCATGGGGGTGTAGTGTCCTGTGGTGCAGTGTTGTAGTGCGTTCTTATATTTTGTAATACTTTGAAGTAGTTGGTTTTGTATCCCCATGTTTTTCCCAAATGGTTTATCCCAGACTATACCCCCCCCCTCCTTTTCCCTCTACTTGTGTTATCCCTTTCCCGGGATAAGACCTCCAAAACCCCCACCCTGGCTCTCTGCCAGTCACCTCGACATCCCAGCCCCCTACCTAGAAGTTTCGGTCCAAGTTGTCGAGTGATTAGCCAGGGGCCAAGGGTCAACCCCCCAAGTCCTGCCCCATACGCTGTTTTGTATGTCTGTCCCCCCAGCACCCATCCCCCAGAGATACCTATTGGTCAGTAGAATGTTATCTATGTTAGTTTCCTCCCCCCTTTAAATGTAAGCTCCAGACTTCCCCCAGGGCTCTCGGCAGGAGGACCCCCTGAGGTATAGGAGCTCCCTCGGGACTCCTTAATAAAACCTTGGAATACCCCCTGCTGGGAGTCGGCCCCTTTCCTCTTCCACCAACGTCTCGGTCGTCTCTGCTGCAACGAAGGCAACCAGCCTGAGTGCCCTCAGCACCCTCGGGGCACAGAGAGTGTCTCCCCGCAGTCGGCCGTGGTGGGGCTGCACCCCCCACTCTCTGCCGACCCGGGTAAGGCCCAGGGACTTGAGAGGCTTGCAGAGGGACTGGGACAGTGCAGGGTCAGGCAGTGGTTTAATGGCTAGGCTCTGACAAGGTCATCCTCTTCCCAGGATGTGCAGTGCCCCAGCAAAATGCAGCTGGTCCCTATGCAGCTTTCCCTATGCAAGGAAACTGAAGCTTCAAGGGCCACTGGAACATACTGGTATTTTGGTGCCTTACCTTTATCTGTTCTTAAAAACATCAAACAAACAAAACCAGCAAACAAGAAACCCTTGCACCACAACCCAAACAAACAAAACAACCAAAAAAGAGAAAATATAATTATTGTAACAACAGATAAGTTCCAGGACTATTTGCTTAAACACATTTTGGCTAGCCCATTCTAGATACATACAATATCTTATGCTACCCTTCTCTCCTGTATTCTGCATAATCACCTGTAACAGTTATTAAGAATATTAAAGTGGAGTAAATGCAAAATCGTTCCATGTTATTATTTTGCAGTGCCCTCAAGAATGCTAGGATATTTAGATCTAAAACAAATCCAAAAAAGGGTTTATAAGCTGTAAACCAGCATCATGGGTAATTTTTAAAATAGAATGCAATGTACTTA